TTCAGAAGGGTATAGGTATGCAATCACATGTGTGGACATGGCTACTGGACTTTTAGCTGCTTACCCCGTACCACACCCACATCAGAAAGCAGGAATTGCTGTGCTGGAGTGGATAGGTGCTGCCTATGGTCGACCCCTAGTCATTGAAAGTGACCAGGGGATGCATTTTACTGGGCCATTGGTGCAATAATGGGCTTGAGACCTGCAGATTGACTGGAAATTCCACATAGCCTCTCACTCTCAAGCTGCCACAATGATTGAACAGTACAATGGCCTCTTAAAGCAGAGCCTGTGAGCTGTGGCTGCCACCCCAATGCTGGGTGGCTGGGTAAAACGCTCATGGACTGTCCTCTGGAATCCAAATGAGAGGAGGCAGATGGGGGCCCAGCCCTGGTGGAAGTGCTGCTCCACCTGAGTGGTACTCCAGTTCAGCTGCAGGTACAGACAGAGGGTGCTTTGCTGAAACCGGGCATGGGAGAACAGGGGAATATTGTCTTGCCTGCACCTGAGGATCTGGAGTGGGAGCAAACAGCCACTTGGACATGGCCTTGGAAAGTAAAAGCCCGCCTCCCTTCCACCTCACATGCATTGGGTGGTTGTTGTTGCCCTTTGGGGCCAAGGGGTAGAGAGAAACCTGCAAATAGTGCCCTCGGGAATTGAGACATGGCCCCCAGACACACCCAGGGTCGGCAGAACACAAAATGCTGTCACGACACCTATGTGATACCCCTATGGCCCGTTACAAGTTCTCCACTCTTGTTACAAGTAGATGCTGAACCTCCAGTTGAGGTGAAGTAGTACAACTACTTGTACATACACAACAAAAGCACCCAAAACTAGCCAGGAAGGAACTGTCCTGTAAGAACAGAATCCCTCTAGCCCCTGAGGTCAGTCTCTGTTCAGAGTTGGCCCACTCCCATGTTCTGTGAAGTGTACTATCACTTAATAAATCTGCTCTCTCTCTCTCTCTTTATGCTATAAACTCTGTGTGTTTGGTTCAATTCTTTGTCTGTGATCACCAAGAACCTGGTTACCTGTGCCCACCTGTGACGAGACTGCTCATCATAGTGCTGAAACCTCTAAGGAATGAATGAGCAAATGACTGCACGTTGTTTTCAAAAAACCTAAAACTGACAGGTGTGTTATCATTTTCTTCTATTTTAAAATATATTTTATTGATTATGCTATTACAGTTGTCTCATTTTTTTGTCCCCTTTATTCCCCTCCACCCTGCACCTCCACTCCCACCAGCATTCTCCACTCCCTTAGTTCATGTCCATGGGTTGTACAAAATTCCTTGGCTTCTCCATCTCCTATGCTATTCTTAACCTCCCCCTCTCTATTTTTTACCTACCATTTATGCTTCTTATCCCCCGTATCTTTTCCCCATTCTTCCCCTCGCCCCTGATAACCCTCCAGGTGATCTTAATTTCTGTGATTCTATTCTTGTTCTAGTTGTTTGCTTAGTTTGTTTTTGTTCCATACAGTTCAATTTTCTTGCACTTCTGCTTGTTTTTTGTTTTTGAATTTTTTGTCCTTTTGGTTGTGCGAGGAGGCAAAGTATTTATTTGTATTTATTTGTTAATTAATTTATTTATTTTGAGAGAGGGGGAAGGGAAGAATCAAGAGACGGAGAGAAACATTAATGTGTGGTTGCCTCTTGTGCACCCCCTGCTTGGGACGTGGCCTGAAACCCAGGCATGTGCCCTGACTGGAAACTGAATTGGTGACCTTTTGGTTAGCAGGCCAGGACTCAATCCACTGAGCCACACCAGCCAGGGAAGACAATTACTCTTGTAACACAAGTTATCAAGGGAGAGCGCAAATGCAGAGCCCCACTACCACAAATTATTCAGTCAAGTTTCCCACATTTGGAGAAATCACAGAGGACAGCACACACAGGGTACAATGGGTGGGCCTAATCCTGGGAAGACCACCTTCTTGATATGGTACTTCCCCTACCAGGTGAGTATCTCATTTTAGAGAATATTGTATTCTTTCAGCAGTATGGAGAACGCTGGATACAATGGGGGCAGGGCTCAAGAAAACAAAGGGAAATTTTTTACAGTTTTTCTCATATATATTATATATTTTTATTACATCTAAATCAGGTATTTTTTTCTCTTTTTTGTATTTTATTGATTATGCTATTACAATTGTCCCATTTTTTTATCCTCTTTATTCTCCTCCAACCTGCACCCCTCTCACACCGGCATTTTCCCACCTTAGTTCCTGTCCATGGGTTGCACATATAAGATCTTTGGATTCTCTATTTCCAATGCTATTCTTAACCTCCTCCTCTCTATTCTGTACCCACCATTTATGCTTCTCATTCCCTGTACCTTTCCCCCATTCTCCCCCGTCCCGCTCCCCACTGATAGCTCTCCATGTGATCTCCATTCCCATGATGCTATTCCTGTTCTAGTTGTTTGCTTACTTTGTATTTCTTTTTGTTTTAGGTTCAGCTGTTGCTAGTTGTGAATTTGTTGTCATTTCACTGTTCATAATTTTGATCATCTTCTTTTTTCTTAGATAAGCCCCTTTAACATTTCACATAAGGGCTTGGTGATGATGAACTCCTTTAACTTGACCTTATCTGGGAAGTACCTTATCTGCCCTTCCATCCTAAATGATAGAATTGCTGGATAGAGTCATCTTGGATATGCTGGTCTTTGCTTTTCATGATTTTGAATACTTCTTTCCAGCCCCTTCTTGCCTGCAAGCTTTCTTTTGAGAAATCAACTGGTAGTCTTATGGGAACTCCTTTGTAGATAACTGTCTCCTTTTCTCTGGCTGATTTTATGATTCTCTCCTTATCTTTCATTTTGGGTAATACAATTAGGATGTGCCTGAGTGTATGCTTCCTTGGATCCAACTTCTTTGGGATTCCCTGAACTTCCTGGACATCTATTTCCTTTGCCAGATTGGGGAAGTTCTCCTTCATTATTTTTTTTTCAAATAAGTTTTCCATTTCTTGCTTTTCCTCTTCTTCTGCCATCCCTGATTCTGATGTTGGAAAGTTTAAAGTTGTCCTGGAGGTTTCTAAGCCTCTTCTCATTTTTTTTGAATTCTTATGTCTTTATTCTGTTCTGGTTGAATGTTTATTTCTTCCTTCTGGTCCAAACTGTTGATTTGAGTCTCAGTTTCCTTCCCTTCACTGTTGGTTTCCCGTACATTTTCCTTTATTTCACTTTGCATAGCCTTCACTTCTTCCTCTATTTTGTGACTACAGTCAACCATTTCTGTGAGCATCCCGATTACCAGTGTTTTGAACTCTGCATCCGATAGGTTGTCTATCTTTTCATCACTTAGTTCTATTTTTTGGAATTTTGATCTGTTCTTTCAGTTGGGCCACGATATTTTATCTCAGTGCACTTGTTACATATTAAGGGGTGAAGCCTTTGTTATTTGCCAGGGCGGGGATATCCAGGTCACCGCATTGTGGTGCTGTATGAGGGGTCTGAGAGGGAACAATGCTGCTTGCTCAGCTCCCGGCCAGCTTTGAGTCACTTTTCCCACTTCCCACAAGCAAATTGGGCCCTCTTGGTGCTGATTCCCAGGTGGGTGGGCTTGTATGTGTTCTAGGACCCTGTGGGTCTTTCCAATAAATTCTCCCATGAGGCTGGGAGTTTCCCCCACCACTGCCAATTCCCCACAAGCTTTTATAGCCTCCTTTACATTCCCAGAGGTTTTGAAGCTTTATTTCCCTTTGTTGGAACTCTGGGTTCCATGGTATGTCTCACTCCCCCAGTTGTTCCTCTTGGTTTATGTGCACACAAGTGTTGGACCATCCATTCCACCAGCCGCTGCCCTGTAGTGATTCCTTCCCTTCCGGCTTCCCATCTCCGCCCCTCCCACTGGTCTGGATGAATGTTTCTTCTTTAACTCCTTGGTTGTCAGACTTCCATACACTTCAATTTTTCCTGCCATTCTGGTTACGCTTTGTCTTAAATTTGTTTTTTGTCCTCCTTTTGGTTGAGTGAAGAGACAAGGTGTATCTACCTATGCCTCCACCTTGGCCACAAGTCTGATTCAGGTATTTTTTTGTCCTAGTGTAATTGAATTCCCATTCCCCAGATATAGCATGTTTATTGTAATTTTTTGTAGACACGTGTAAATGTTGAAGAAGTCATGTTATGGTCAAATTGATGTGTAATATGTTATCATTGAATTGGCCCCACTCATGGGAATAAAAAAATACTCTTTATTTAGGAGAAGCACTGTTAAGTATAGGAAAGTCAGGGGGGAGGTCCTGTAGAGGTGAAAATAACAAAACAAAACACCCTTCTAACTCACACATGCAGTAAAGCAAATTTTATGAGTAAATGTGTAATTACTTAACATATGTAATATGTGAACGTAGTAACATTTTATCGCTGTGTATGTAATATGGAAATAAGACAAAGGAGAAAACAACGTTTTAAAATTTAATTTCATTTTTCTCATATAAGCTACATGTATTTGTTTTATGAGCCAATGTGAAATGCAAATAAAATGCTATATAAAATAAAATAAAATGTCTTAAGTAAATGACAATACTTACTATTCGTGCATTTTTAGAGTTCGAGGAGGAGGACAGAAAAATATATTGTCTTTGCTGCACTTGAAAATACACAAACATAAGAATTCCACCCATATTTTTGTTCTCATTTTCAAATAATGCCTGGCTCTCTTAAGATACTCAAAATACATGAAAGGTCTAACGTAAAACTTAAGGTTTGGAAATTTAATCCTCAAGGAAACCCAGAGTTTACCACCCGAGTCTTGTTTATTAAGATTTTTTAATGACAATTCTAACCACTTAGTAGCAACACATTGCCCTGAAAAGAGGCCCTGCTGGTCATCTGGAAGAATCTGGGAAGGAGTAGAGCTCCGATGTAGCCACAGAGCTGCGTCAGCTGAATGGGGTCCAGTGCCCTTAGCTGAGCCCTAATCCCATTCACTGGCAGCCTCAGCTATCTCCTGTCTGAGAAAGAGGCTGACCTTCCCAGGTTTCTCACCTAGGAGGGGCTCTGGGCTTCTCCTTCATCCCCTGCTGGACCCGAGGGACCTGGTAGTGGGGCTGGGACAAGCCAGCCCTCGGCAGGGAAGGCATAGGCCGCTTGGGTGGCCATGGCATAGATGGTCTGCGCCTGGGTGCGCAGATGCTCCCGGAGCTGGGTGAGCAGGATGTACTTCTCCCAGCTCAGCGAGAAAGGAAGCTGCTGGTTCTGCAGCAGAACGATGTTCTGATAAATGGCCTCAGACATGGTGCGAAGGGAAGTCACCAGGCTTTTCCGAAGCAGAGGAGGTGTCTGGACTCTGGAGGACCGTGATCTGGGCCTCTTGCTGTGCCCAGTGCGCCTTCTCTGGCCTCTCCTATGATGGGCACTTCCAGTCTCTTTGCTGTCACCACTTTGATCATTATCAGAGACCTTTCCGATCTTTCCCGAAGTCACACTGCACATCTCTTCTAGAGAGGCCCCTGCAAAGGAAGCTTGTGGGTGAGAGACCTGCCAGATCAATTCCCAGGGGATCTTCATTCCCAGATCTCAGCCAGTGCCCTCAGGGGAACCCCACAGCTATCTTGCTCCTTTCAAGCCCTTTTATTTCTATGCGACCACACTTATCCCACATCCCCAAATGCTCCCTGAATCCCAGAACCACCAAGGTGGCTCTCCAAAACCACCAAGCAAACCCTTTCCTGTCCACACGCTGGATATTCCCCACTTTTCCTTCTGTGCACCTCTGGCCCCCAAAGTAACCTCCTACCTGCTGTCTTGCCGAGGCTGTCCCTGGAACTGCTTTTCCTCTTCCCGGAGCTCTCGCAGTCGGAGCAGCTTTCTGCTTCTGCAGATAAAGTGTGAGTTTCAGTGACTGCTCACTTCCCCGCCATTCCTAGAGTTCAGGATCTGCGAGTTTCTAGCTGCCCCAGAGCAGCACCCAGTTCACTGCCCAGAGAGACGGATACCCACATCCTGTCCCTCTTTCCCCCAAAGTAAAATCTTACCTGAGAGATTGCAGCTATTTCTGCCTTTGCGTTTCCTCTTCTTACAATTCTCTTCCTCATTTGTCTTGGCCTCTGATCCTGGACAAAAAGAAGGAGTTTAGGTGACTGGCCTCCCTCAAGGCACACAGAACCCCCTATTTGTGGACAATTCTCTCCATCAACTAGTCAGTATTTGTGGGCAACTCTCTTGACTGAGGGTGTGCGGCCAATGGCAAGTGTGACATGAACACCAAGGTTCCAGAGGGTCATTGTCACACTTCCTCAAGCACCCTGAAGGCCAGGTAATGTTTTCTACCACCTGTGTCGAAATAAAAGCCAACTGGAGACAAAAATGCTGGGTTTCACCCTGAATGGTGTGGCTCAGTTGGTGGGAGTGGCCTCCCATAAACTGCAAGGTTGTGGGTTTGATTCCTGCTCAGGGCACATGCCTGGGTTGAGGTCTCAATCGGGGCACATAAGAGAGGCAACCAATCAATGCTTTTCTCTCACATCCATGTTTCTCTCCCCCTTCCTTTCCCTCTCTCTAATCAATAAGCATGTCCTCAGGTGAAAATAAAATGAAAATAAATTTAAAAATCAATCAATCAATTAGTAAAAATGTTATTTCGTCTTTATGATCTCCCTTTGAGGTATGTATTATTACAAAACACACAAACAAATAAGTAAATAATATGGGCTTCCCTGATCTCAAACCTCTCTCCAGCCTCCACACAGCCCATTCTTCCCTCGTCTTTGGATGACATTCTCTCTTAACTGGGAAGAATCCTTACCTTCTTCTCCTAATAGTTTCTGATCCACATCTGAGTGCCTTTCTTCAAAGAAGTTCTTTTGGGAGGGAGGCTGCTCAGTGGCACTTTGGATGGAGGGGCTCTGGGAGTCTGAGTTTTCTGTTCCCGAATCCATCTTGGAGCCCAAATGAAAGACCCTCCCTGTGACACATCCAGAACCAGAAGTGAGAGTAGGCCCGATTTGCCTGCCTTTTATGAGCCACGCACAGGGTGTGGCTCACTCCTATTGGCTGAAAAGCATTCACTTCCTGTTACTCATTAGAGATTCAGGTAGGCTAAATATAGATAGGAATGTAGCTGATTGTGTTTGTCAACAGAAGTTGTTGACAAACAAAAATTGTGCCAACAGGGGTTTCCAATATGGGGTTTCCAATAAACCATAGAGCGTTATTATAAATGCAGTGTTATTCCTGTAGGGTTCCCACTTGCAGTGTTTTGTCATTTTTAGATAGAGTGTGAGGACTTTCATATGCCCTAGCTCCTCCCAGCGACCCTCCCAACTGATTATGTTTCCTTAAAGTTCCAGTTAGTCTTCATCGAAAAGTTGACTCAGCAATCGATTGAAGTACAATATTAAGAATTTGTAAAGGTGGACTCAGATGGCAGGGACACTGTGCAGGGGTCTGGAGGCTCAGTCTGTGGCATTTCCCTCAAATGCATAGTGTGTGAGATGCCTCTGGAAGCAATGGTTGCTAGACTCTGGTTTTAAATGTGTGCCCAATTAGCTGTTAGGAGTGCTTCTTAGGAGTGCTGTTGCTTCTCAAAGTTCAGGTTGAACTGCAGATCCCCACACAGATAAGGAAAGACTATTGCAGGGTCCTGACATAGACTCAAAAACAGATAGCAAAGCTGGGAAGCTGAGGGATTGAAAGGCTGAGAATTCCTCCCCATCTTGATTCTGGCCCACAATCCACCCAGAATTATTCAAGACCCTGACCAGAATTCTTCTGCTTCTTCTACCATGAAATGAAAAGTGAGGGCTGCTCAAATGTACCTGGATAACAGGCTAATCAGGAGGATAACTTTTATATCAATAAAATGCATCTATTTTCACAAGTCTTCTCTATGATAATTTCATCCTATAGAGGACACAGAAGAGGTATATTTCAAGAAATAAGTGTTTACCAGACCCATTATGCAAGTGATGTATTTCTTTTTCATACCTGCCGTTGTGTTTTTAAAGACTAGATTTTACTGTAGGAAAGGTACAAGCCAATTTTATATATGAATATATCTGACAAATATCAGGTATTGATATATAAGTGAAACTATCAATAACCTCAAAATAATTAATTATAAATATAGTTTCTCAGTAATAATATTTTTAAGCTTTGAAGATGGATATTTTAAACATCCCCACGTTGTACAGAACAAAGCATCCCTCTCTTTACTCCTGAGACCACTTCAAAGTGTGCCAGCATTCCGCCGGTCTGGTCTTGTGTCATCCAATCAAATCTTCACCTTGGGGTGGGTGTTGGGTGAGGACTGGAACTGGAAAACTTTAATGCAAATCTTAGAATTATGTATTTCTCTAAAAAATAAGTTGGGAGACATAAAATTTATTTTTAATAAATTATTCTTCAAGTATATATATGGAAGACAACAAAGACTTGCAGGCTATTATAACTCAAAATTAGTTTGGTGTTTTTTTTTATATTATCTAATACCCAGTACATATTTGCATTCTCTCAAATTAACCAAACACATTTTAAGTTATTTATTGTAGCATTAGAACTGACCAATTCTGTCTGAAAAGATAATTTAAGACCCACTGAAAAGCAGAAGGATATAATTGCAATCTTCATTACTCAGAAGGAAATTGTGTCCATGACATATAAAGGTTAATTAATACTCTCTCAAAACAAAAAGTACACAATTCAAAATAAATTGAAAAATAATGTAAAAGAAATTTTACATGTTAGTAAAGTTTTGTGGTGAATAACAATGATAGGGGACTCGCGGGTTGGAAAAGTTTAATTTAAATAATCGCTAATAAGCTTAGTAATCAATGCCAGTAAAAGCCGTTGTTCCAGGAGCTGAAGGTATGACCCACCCTGACTCCAGCAGACTGTAAACAGTTCCACCTTTTTGCCTCAGGAGGACTGCAGCAATGCAGATGGTATCTGAGCCATCACACTCCAGGGTGAGAGGACCACTGCCCAGGGCAAGAATACTGCAGTTTTTAATCCAATTAACATTTCCCCCAAATTCCAAATTCTTGCCTACACTTTGTTCTCCTTATGAAAAGGGCCATTTTAAAATGGAATTGAAGATGGTCTGTTAGGGTATGAACCCGCCATCTTCTCAGATCGCCGGCCACCTGAATAAAGCTCCCATAAAGACTCAATGCCCGTCTCTGCTTATTGGGTTCGGTATGTGACAGGCAGTACAAATGCTGGTCTTTTCCAGTTGCATATTTTGGTGACTCCACTGGGACAGACTTTGGGACTCTTCAGTAAGTGTGGGTATTGGGCAAGGAGTCCCATTGGCTGCCTGGGCTGAGAGGCCTCAGAGTTTGTGTTTGGAGATTCCCAAGCAGCTGCCAAGTGATTCCACTTAGGCACCCTCCCCCTCACTCCCAGCACTTCTCGTCATTTATCATGTTTGATTGAATCATTGCGCTTTCTGGTTCAGGCTAAAATCCCAGGTCACAATTTAGGTCATCTGGTTAAGGTACCATCTGTTTTACTGAGCTCTGTCTGGTAGAATGGGGGTAGAAAGCCTCTGTTCTGGAAAACAGCCCACCGGGGCGAGTTCTGGCTAATTGGTTGACCTATGCTTATAAACGTGTGACTGGGGTGAATGTGGTTTTATTGTAATACTATTGTTCAGCTTATGTGTTGTCTGATCTAGACTCAGGAGAGTGCTGGCCCCTGAATTGGTCTTGAAATTTCTGTATTATACTGTAACTAGAGTTGTTTTGTCGAAAATCAGGGAAGTAGGAGAAAATGTGCTACCTAGAAGGTGTGTGTGTATGTGTGTGTGTGTTTAGTTTACATGATAAAGATACAGAGTAAAAAAAGAAGTTAATGGTTCAGAGAAGGGAGAATTTGCATGTGAAAGATAGTAGAGGCTCAGAGGAGAGGGACCAGGGAGATCTAGATATTATGACTGCTTCAAGCACGATCAGACTTCCCAGGCCTCTCCAGCTCGGGGGATCTACTCAGCTGAGGGAACTGGGGAAAGTGCGCCTGAACTGGTATCGCCATCTTGAACCCATCAGGGAACCAAATTCGGTGGAGGAAAAGCCCCTACTGGGGCAGGGCAATATCCTTTGCGGAGACTTCTAGTGGGAGGAGGGCCAGAGGGCGAGCCTGCTGGATATTATTGGGCACATACTCCGTTTCTACATCAGATTTGAGAAACTGGAAAAGCTCAAACCCTTCTTATAAGGATGATCCTGCTAAAATGACTGATTTGGTTGCATCAGTTTTGTCACTTATCCTCTCAATTGTGCAGACATGCAAGCCTCATTAAATCCTTTGCTTATGGGGAATGAGTGATGGATAAGGCAAACGAAGAGGCTTGGGGCATGCACCAAGAAAATCCAGATGGGGCTCTTGACCCTACCAGGGCAATACCTTTAACCAAGCCCAACTGGGACCCTATGGGAATGGCCTTCCTTTCTTAGAGCATTGTAAGACATGCCTTCTTGAGGGAATGAGGAATGGCGTCCCTGAGCAGAAAAGTCTGAATGTGGTGCAGACAGTGCAACAAAAGTCCACAGAGGACCCCTCCCAACACCAGGAAACAGGTAAGAGGATTCCTGGGAATACTGCTGCATTTGGATTCCAAACTTTGGGCTCACTGCTAATCCACTGTGTGAGGCTCTGAAGGGACCAGAATACAGCCCTTTAGAATGGACAAAGGAGTGCACTCAGGCTTTTGAGTCCCTGAAGGCCCACCTGGCTTCTGCACCGGCCTTGGGGCTTCCAAACGTACTGAAGCCCTTTCAATGCTAACGTGTGTGGGAGACAGGGCGTTGCCCTAGGATTCCTCACCCAAATGCTTAGTGACATTTCACACCCCATCACATACTTGTCAAGGAAACTAGATCACACTCTCCAGGAGTGGCCAGCTTGCTTGACAGCTGTGGCAGCCACCTGCGAGCTCTTACAGGCAGCTGAAAAGTTTTCCTCAGGATAGCCTATCACCATTTAAGCACCCCACCAAGTGTTGAGCCTGCTGGAGCAAAAGGGAAATTTGCGGCTCACTGCTGGAAGAATGGGCAGGTACCGAGCCATTCCTTTCGACAATCCCAACATCTCCCTCAAAACTGTAAGTAAGTCAAACCCTGCCTCTCTTCTCCCGGTGCCTGACTCGGCTGTGCTAATACGTGACTGTGCTGAGATAACTGGTGAAGTGTATTCTAGCAGAACTGATGTACAGGACCATCCTCCAGAAGAAGCAGACTGGACCGTCTATGCAGATGGAAGCAGTTACAGAGACAAAGGAAACAGAGAGGCTGGGCACTCATTTGTGACTCTTGAAGGAGTAGTGGAGGCCAAGGCCTTGCCACCAGGAACCTCTGCTCAGAAAGCCGGACTGATTGCATCGACCAGGGCACTGGAATTGTTGCACAAAAGGAGAGTGAATGTGTATATCGACTCAAGGTAAGCTTTCCTAATTTTGCATGTATATGGTTCCCTCTGGGAGGAAAAAGAAGTGTTAGCCTCTGATAAAAAGGAGAACAAGCATGCAGCAGAAATTTTAAAATTATTAGAGGCTGTTCAGGTGCCTTTACATGGGGCAGCTATGCACTGCCTGGGGCAGCAGAAAGAGGACAGTGAAGCAGCTAGAGGAAATCATCTGGCTGATCGAGCAGCAAAAGAGGCTGCTGAAGGAACGTTTATAATGCCTTTGGTACCTGTTCTGGGCTTGTCACAATTTGACCCTAAATCTTCAACTGCAGACTTAGAGAAAGATGAGGGTTGGGCTTTTGATGAAGAAGGTCCTGATAGTGGGTGGTGAAAGAATAAGAAAGGAATTACACTGCTTCCTGAACATTTAGTAGAGCCTGTCATGAAGCATTTGCATGAGGCCACACGCTATGGAAAGGACTCATTAACCGCTTATGTCAAACTGTGGCTCACAGGTTTGGAATTTCCAAAGCCT